CGAACAAGTGCAAGTGGTAAGCTAAACAAATATCACATGAGGGCCAAAAGAGCCACCGAAAGACAGAAACTTTACAATTGCGTTGAGAGTTCGGATAGTGGCGAGAGTTCGGATAGTGTTTCTTGTATCAAAATCAACAGTTTGCAGAATATACCAAAGCAATTATTTGTGACGCTCCTGCAAAATCATATGTAAAATGCAATAATTTAATTTTTAATTTTTTTAGGTTCAAGAATTTTCAAAATTAGGGGGATCGTCGGCGTACGACCTAGTGAGAAGGTCTCTTAGCCTCCTTCTAGCTGACCAAAAAACTATAGAGTATAGCTGGCTAGGGAGAAAGGGGAAAAAATATGTATGAATTTAAATATTTCCAAAATGTTGATAGGTATACATTTTATATATAAAATAATTCAAAATCCACAAAAATCAAACATTTTCATTAATATTTTTAAAATCTAACTGTTTTAAAGATAGTATTATATTTAGATGTGTATCTATTAATAATATGTTCATTTCTTAGGTGCAGCGGCAAAAGCAGGCCTTTCGAGCACCGCCAAAGAGACTGAAGACGCCATCCAAAATTGGATTAGAAGAGCGTCTGATAGACAAAATACAAAAAAATAAATTCAAATATATATGATAATAAATAAAAACACGAAATATATTATTTTACATTTCCAATAGGAAACTTCCCATAGAATATTCCTAACACCTTTGAAAACGTGTTTCAAGAAGGCATCCCTTTAAGGCGTCTCTTCAAGACGCCTTTAAGTCATCTCTTCAAGACGCCTTTAAGTCATCTCTACAAGACCTGTTCAAGACGTCTTTAAGATGTCTGTTCAAGACGTCTTTAAGACGTCCATATTTGTAACAACAGACGTCATAAAGACGTCTTTAAGACGTTTCACATATCTGAATTAGACATCTTCAAGACGTCTTTAAGATGTCTTTGTGCTGTTTGGGTATGTAGTTGTTGCACATTAACGTGATATTTTTGTCGCAGAAATCAACACAAGAAAACTTAATATTTCTTAAGCTGAATGATTTACAAATTTTTTATTCAATAAAAGAAAAATGTTCTTGATTTTTCTCTGGCAAAATCACTTATCAAATCATGAGAATCAAACGGTCGAAGTAAATTACCTTCAATGCTTGACAGAAAAAAACAGTAGGTAGTTTTAAATGCTAGTTTAGTTTAAATTTTTTTTTAAAACGACGGCGTTTTGACTTTGTCAGGCCGCGGGTGAAATTTGTGAGAAGTTGGAAAAACTGTTTGATGTGTTTCCTTTTGATCTGTGGCGAAAAGTGGCACTTTTTGATTAATTCGAATAATATAGAATGATTAAGTTTGTTTATGTTTATATTGCATTTACTCAACTAATTTTGATCAGAACGCCATTGTAAAAATAAACTTGGAATTGCCTACATATGTTCGCAATTTTTTTTAAATGACATCTGCAGCCTCTAACATTTTAACTCTCAGGCTGAATAGACAAATAAAGCCATACATTTGAATTTGAAGGAAAAGGAATGCAATTTGGTTCACCAAACAGCCGACCGAAAGTGGCCCGCAAACAAAAGTGTCCAGTCTCTCCTAACAAATCAAAAAAATGATGATGCTGCAAGGCCGAGCATAAAAATTCCGATGCCGATACGAATCCTTTGTCTTGTTTGTTCTGCGCTTGTCAAAACCGGTTTCTGAACCAGTTCTTACTGTACCGCGAACAAAACTTTCGGTTCAGAACGAGTCATTTATTTACCGCGAACCTCCAATGCCTCTATGCGCATGCGATCTGTCTCTCCAGTTCTGAGTCGTTACCGCGAAAAAAGCTATTACGTTTTTTGAAATATCGTGAGACTGGCACAATGAATTTTAATGAAGTAGAAGTATTTAGTAGTAGTGTGGAGGGACCCAATGGGTCCGGCGTTGGTTGGTCTCATTAATTGGTCTCCTCACTCTTCCGATATTACAAAAAGCCGTATTTAAGTTTTATTAATACAAAAAATTGAGCAAAAACTGTAAATGTTCCAAGATTTTACAGAAAGAAAAAAAATGTTGGAAAAGGACTAGTGCATCAACTGAAAAAAAAAAAGAGTTTTCCATCTACGAATTGGAAAGTTTTCGTAGTTTTTGTACCAACACACTTAAGAATTCACTACTTATCCAAAGCGATCGGACTCGGTATCTAATAATAGATAATAAATTTAGAACGAGTATTATTAAAAGCCGTCGTATGATGCTTTTGATATTTCAAAAAACATAATTTTTTGAAGAACTTATGCCACCAAAAGTAGAGGAGCCAGACATTTTCTTTAAAAAAAACTTAGGTCAGATCGTCTTTGTTTGAGCCAAAAAATGTCTCAGTACCCTTYTTGATCATGYGTTTATRGGACACCCCATATCGCGATCCAATAGCAAAATAAATTTAAATCTTCTGACTACCAAGKAWTAATTGCTTTTGACAATGAGATTATCTCCCTGAACTTATTTTAATTTTAATAAACTTAATCACTGACCTGAATTCGGCATTTTCTGTGTTGAAGCATCCAGCGTCTATTGCAAATGCACACCTTGCTATAACATTAGTCGAAAATTTCGCACATATTTCCTTGGATTCAACATTAGGCACGTTAGCTAAATTGCTGACGTAATCCACCATAAGGTTAGCTTCGTTTAAGATATGTGAAAACATTTGTTTTAATTTTCCAGTAGAAAAAACTGGACTGAATTTTGATCGTACAGCTTTCCACTGTGGATTTTTAGCAATGAACATAAAATTGGACAAAATCGGATCGTGTTCGTAATGGGCCGATGATCTGTTTTGAAAGTATTCAAAGTCTTTTTGTAGTATCAGTTTTACCAGCTTTGGGGATTGAACCACCAAAACTGGTTGATCGAATACGAAAATTCCAAAGTAGTCCTTTTTGATTTTATGGCTTAAGTCACCCAACCATTCTCCTAGCGTTGTCTTCATCGTCAAGGCGGGCAGCATATTTCCGAGCAGTGGTATAGGATTAATGTAAAATACATTCTTTGATTTCCAGTAGTTGAAATTTCTAGTGAAATATTTATCTAATAGGGTACATATTAATACCAGTACAATGGTACTCAATATTAACACAGTCGCCATCTATAAAGAGTAAAATCTTAGAAATACTAATTATCCGTTAAATGCACGTAGATTGCGTATTCTGCTTACATGTATTGGCTTGTGTCCTCAGCTTTTACGTTCGCAATAAATCACCACACTTTTCGTAAACCGTAAATTTTGTATTGCTGGGCTTTGTTAAATTAAATTTAACTCCCGTTCTCATTTGCAAAATATCTGAAATAATTTTGGGCAATGCAATGAACAAATGTCAATCGTTCAAACAACTTATCCTTTTTTGTATTCTTATTTGACACCAAAATGTTATCGGAATGTTATTAATAACTCTATATCACTTTTCTAAAGCAATCTCTTTAGAATATCGACATAACAGCAATGTGATATAATTGCTGTTTAAATCGAAAAAGATCAGGGTCGGATCATATCCATCAGTATTTTATATCAGAGCACGTTAACCCAAATTTAAGTCAAGAGGAGCAAGCCAAAAATAACAACGAATAGCCACACATTCATAAATAAATAGGACTCGGGCTTAAGAAATCCCTACATTGCCGATTTTGAAAAATTACCACTGAAGATGTGGGCCGCTTATGGTTGTGAAGCTAAACAAAATCTATTTGCCGCCTTAGTAAAATAAAAAGTCCTATTTGCAAATTTATACCTATATGTTGCCTTTATCAACAAGAAAATACGAATTGCTAATTTATTATATGTTAAACGTTACATGTATTTATTCCAGCTATTTGCTGATTAATATAGTTAATAGAATTTTCATATATAGATATAGATATAGATAGAAAATAATATTAAAATTGTTTATTATGGATTGCTAAACGCGACCCTGGGATACTGGATAATTGTTTTAAACATTGAATGTGACTGATACTATGTAATCATACAATTATTTATTTATTGAAAATAATTAGAGCTTTAAGTGCCTATCTCAATTATGTTTCAGTTACTACTACGTTTTCTTATCTCATAGTCAAAAAACAACAAATGTGAAGGTTAAAAATTACATGTTTAAATTGATTTATTATTGCATATTTTTTTTCTAAAATATCATGATATCGGCTTATTTTGACCGTAATTTGAATAACAATCGATAATATGATGTAATGTTTTCACCAAATTTAATTGTTCGAAAAATGTGCAAAGCAATAAACTTATTTCAGCCCTTCCTAAATAATTCCACGTTCAATAGTAGTTGCGTGCTCGAACCCCGCAAATTAATTTGGTTGATAACTGTGGTGTTTCATTATTAACGACAAACTCGGAGCATCCAGCATTTATGAAGCCACGAAAGAAGCACTACCTTATAATATACCGAGTAATATATATAATACCGATAATATAACTACTAATATACCGAGTAATATATATTAAGATTGAACCGAGTCACTGTCTAAAGTGCACACTTTATTTGGAACACCCTATACATGTTATTTGGCGCATCAAATTTAATTTAGGTTAGTTAATTAATCAAACATTGTAACCAAATTATATTGGGCAATTTATGTAATATGAAATAAGTAAAAAACAAATAAAATCACAAAAAGGCAGAGCCTTTGCTGTACAACATACAACTCAAAACACATTAGTCAATCAACAGCCCTTATCCAAATTTGTATTTAATGTTGCTTAAAATACTGAGATTATTTTCACTAATTGTGCTAATTATCTAACAGGGTGATTTTGGCGGCCCACTTCAAATTCGCAAGAACAACAGATGGTACCAAATCTCATATTTAGTCGCTAGTAATCTTTGAGGTCATTTGAATAACCCAAAAATAACTCCCAAAACTATATGAAATAAGCCATATAATTACAGTCAAAGTAGCTTCTTTTGAAAATAGTTAAAAGTTACTGCCCCGTTGTAAATAGTTTGGTTCAACTTTACCGGTATTTATGATATTCTAGCGGAAAATCTGTTTTTCAGATACTACAAGAAATCAGTTGAAGCACAGCAGATTTGAATGTGTATCCAAATCAATTTGCGCTATAGATGCAAAGTTTAACTCAAATGCTAACTTATTTGTTGCCAAAATGATTGCAAAATTTGTGACCCCTAACAGTGGAAATCCGGTATCAAACGGACAAATTTCACGTTTAAAAGGTCCACATTCTAAAATTACTTTCCAATATACAGGGTGCATCATAAACGTGTGGTAGTTACCAACTCTGGTTTTTTAACTGAAACCCCCACTCTTTTTTGTTATTTTCAGATTGGCCGTTCAATTTTAATTTATGTTTGTTTCAACCGTTTTACCTGAAAAATTTACGATTTCCGAGTTATTCGTAA